GGGGCGGGGAGAGAGAGAGGGAGGGGGTCGCCGGGCGGGGGCCACGGGCACTCAGAAGCTGAGGAGGAGGAGGAGGAGGAAGGGGGGGCAGCGGCCAAAAGAGGAAGCGGCGGCGGCGGCGGCAGCGGCACCCCCGAGAGGAGCGCGGCTGAGACTTGGGGGCCGCTCCAGAGTGTGAGTCCCGACCCTAACCCCCCCACCACCACCACATACACGTCCATGGGACTGCGCGGCGAAGGGGAGCCGGGAGAGGGGGGGGAGAGTGCCGGTTGACGGGGCTGAAGCGGCCCCATGTCTCCCTAAGAGGGGAGTGAAGCAGCAGGTTGCTTACAACGGGGATATGGGGAGGAATAGCTTGTTATGGGGCAGTTGGTGGGGTTTTTTTTGGGGGGGGAGAGGATAGTAAAGTAACGAGGTGTATGAGAGGCAGGGGTTTTCAGTAGGTTCCGGGGTGGCCGAAGAGAAGGGCGCTGTAAGGGTTTGGGGGGGTGTTCTAGGGGGGCCTGGGGAGCCCCTTAAAGTGAGGAAAGGCTTTCAAAGGTGTGGGGAGAGGAGGGGGGTCTCCCTGAATGTATCGGGGTGTGGGGGTGTGTGTGGAGAGGAAGGTAGAACTTGCCTCTGAAACTGAACTCTGCAGGCTAGGACCAGGAAGCAAGAGAGGTAGAGCGGAGGGGGCTGTGTTAGGAGAGGGTCAGGCGGTTAATGGGTCAGGGTGGAGGGGAGCCTATTTTGGATGAGAAGGAATGGGGTTGGGAGCAGGTGTGTGTGTGTGTGTCTTGGGATGGGGTTACATAGCAACAGGGTGGAGGAGGAAGCTGTTTAGCAGGTTGGAACTGTAGAATAGGGAAGGATCCAGGCTTTTAAGTTTGCAGCCTTCTATGCAGGATGGAAGGAGGAGGAGGAGGTTTTGGTAGGGCGGTTGGGCTGAGATCAGGAGCAGATGGGGGGAGCAGAGAGTCCTTTGTGTGTGGCAGCGTTAGTCTGTATGTGTTTTTGTCTTGCAGCTCAGAAGGTCAAGGAAGTAGATTATTTGGGGCGCAGTGCAGCTGTGGAGACAAGGCAGTGTAGATGAGGAGCCTGAGGAGAGAGCACCGTGTTCTATCCCAGAACTCAGATCTTCCAGCTACTTTTCTTTTGTTGTTGCTCTGGCTACTGAGATCTGGGCTGTTTTTGTATTTGTGGGCTTCCTTCTTTCCTGTCTGTACTGCTACTCTTCCGCCTTCTCTTCCTTCCATTGGCTTTCTTTGGTCGCTGCACGCTTTACATTGTATCAGGAAGTGGATTACATTATCGTTGGCTCACTCTTGAACTTTGTGTCTCACTATGAAGTGCAAAAAGAAAATGCATATTGTGTGCTAATCTGCCTTATCCCATATTCATCCATCTAAATTTTGATAATCTGTTAAGAATTGTAGCAACTGAGATTAGGTAACAGCAGTTGCAGTAAAATAAAAGTGCATGGTAAACGGAGCACTTACTTCATTGAGTATAAAGTTATAAAGGCCTACGAGAGTCTAGCTAGTCACTTCTTAATTCTGCTGTATTGAACAACTTGTTTCATTTTAACTTATTACCCCACTACTTTCTTCTCAAGAAAAAGAGAGTATGATGTTTTCTTTCCATTGTCCTGAATGAGTTTTCTATATGCTTGTACAGTAAAAACAGTAATTATGTTTTAATGTAGATGGTGGTACTTTTGCCTCCCTAAAGCAATATAGCAAAAAGTGTTGAATATTCCATGCCACAAACAGGTTATGTTTGACAAACCAAAGTTGAACAACACTGAACATTATTTTGCAGAGCAAAAATCTGTAATATGAGGATTTGGAAGGGGAAAAGAAAACCTTGACCTTGTATAAAACAATATGTTTTCAAGAGCACAGACTAAAGTGTTTGTATTCTCCCATTTATTTTATATTAAGCATGTTGAAAGAAATTACAGTATTCCTTTACTCATAAGTAGTGAAGTCTTTCATTTTTTTAGGCAAGGCAAAAAAATGCTTTGACAATGATATCCCCTACAAGCTTTTTAAAAATCTTGACTAAATCTGTAGAAGACATGGACTGTTTGCTGAATTGCAGAAGTGAAAGCAATATTTTAAAATGAACTCCTGGGCTCAGTAAAAATGGATTAGTGTGCCTTGAATAAGTTCTCAGTGTAAAAAATCCTCCAGAAACTTATGACAGAAGGGTTGCTATACTGTATATGCAGTGGAGACCCATATGTTTAAGGGCTTTTCCCCCCTTTTCTCTGTTAGAAAGTTTTGAAAAAGGAGACTTTGAAGTATTTTGTTTATACTAACAGACAAGAAAAGTTCTCCCAAGAAAAAGCTGGTGGCAGGAGTGTAGAGGAGTAGCATATGGCATTAAAAGGAGCACAGCTGGAGGTAGCATTTCCATCTGAACATGATGTCAGAGCAGCTGACAGCCTGCCATCCCTCAGCCTTTTATTCTAACACACAGACAGAGAGTGAGTGTGTCTGCAGATCTGTGTGTAGGGAAGGTATCTCATTCCTCTCTAACATCATCTCCACTTTGCATCTGTCTCTCTCTTAGTCTGCTTTTTTCCACCGATCTAACAGACCTGGAGCCAGCAAGACTCGGACAAAAGGACTTAATCAGGTTTATGTGTGCTAAAGGTAGGAACAGCGGTAGGCTAGTTATAGTGTATTTCTCTCTTGGTGTTTATTTAATTTCAGAATAAGAATCCCATTACAGTACTTGTTTAATGAGGTTTAAGAAGAATAAGTGCAGTTCAGTGAAAAGGAGACAACATATCATATTTCATTTCAGGTTTGGACTATGTGTTGACCTGTTTTTTTCTTATGTAGTTATATTAAGTTATATATGTTTAAAATAATTTAGTCCCACTGTTTTTGTTCTTTTCAGTACTGAGACCGTAATTCATGGTGTGTTTGGGGGGGGTATTGTCATGGCAATATAGCTAGTTACAAATATTCTAATAGCACTGCTTAAGGATAAAGAAGAAGAAAGGATTGAAATGGCATATATGATTGAGACTGTAGGACATAAGAATATCTTGTGCATCATGATTTCTACTATTCAACTTTATGCTTCAAGACCATGTCACAGAACTCTAGAAATCTGCAGCCTTTCTTTTCTTGGAAAAAATGAAAATTGTATATATGTTAAATTTAAAGAATAACTTGTTTAGTCCCAATCTTTTTTCTTTTTATTTGTCAATGAAATTTATTTTGCTGCAACAGTAATTGTTTGAGAGGAGGTTTCTGTGTTCACGACTAATTTAGAACTTGTAGATTTGAGCTGCCTGAATTGGCCAGACAGCTGTAATCGCACTCCTCTATTCTTAATCTCTTTATCTGGGCAGCAGCTGCCATATGGCCACAGTCAGCTGGATCAGATGTTTATAAGCTTCCTTCTTCGTCCCTCTCTGTCCTTTCAGCCTCCTAATTTGATCACAGCTACCTTGTGAGCTGCCCTCCAATCTTTATTTTTAGCCCTCTTAAGGATTAGGATTGATGTTGGCTGTGGGGCACTTAAAGTGATTGTATTGTAAATCTTCTTGCTTTATTCTAGCAGTATATTTTGTGGAGTATACTTGGGACAGGATTGTAACTTCAAGAATATGTCTTCATGCCTAAAGATGCAGCTGCTATGTGTAACTAGTTGGCACAACTTTGATTTCAAACCATAGAAATGGGGAAATAGTTAAGGTGTTTCACTAGAAACTTTCAGTGTTTCTTTTCCTCTGCTTTTCTTCTAAAGAGTAGTTACAGTGATTTAAATGATCATAACAATAGTATCCAGAAGAGAAAGAAAAAGGGATAAAATGTTAATAAGGTATTTTTTTCATTGTTTACCAGTGGAAACATTCTTTATGTGTTTAGGATTTTTAACAGAAGGGCAGCCACTTCTCTATGATTACACCTGTTTGATTTTTGTCTATTCCTTTAAAGTTTTTTCCCTGTTGATCAATTATTTTGCCAAAAAGAAAAGTCTAGCATTCACAGAGGAGGTCACATTCATCTATTGGCAAAGCATTTCAGAATCCATTGTTTTCTTACTGTAACATATGATTTTTCAACCTATCTTGGTAGGATTGCAAATGTTGCATTTTGAGTTTTTGCTTCTGTATTCATACAGAAATATGTGACATTTAACCTAATGAAGTTGAATAATTTACACCCACCACCACCAACCTACTCCTTCACAATAGGATATAATTTGGGGGTCTACAAAAGATAATTCAACATTTTTAAAAAACATGAAAAGTTGACTAATTTATATGATTTGTTGCATGCTGCAAATATAGGTCATTAATAGCATCACATCTACAAAATTGTTACAATATTGTATGCAGTCATCTGTAGGTGTAAGATCAATTACTTCCAGTGTTTAACTAAATCTTTTTTATCCTAGGTTATGAAGACAGCATGGAGTTTCCTGACCATAGTAGGCATTTACTACAGTGTCTGAGTGAGCAGAGACATCAGGGTTTTCTTTGTGACTGTACCGTTCTGGTAGGAGATGCCCAATTCCGAGCACACAGAGCTGTGTTGGCTTCGTGCAGCATGTACTTCCACCTATTTTACAAGGACCAGCTGGACAAAAGAGACATTGTTCATCTGAACAGTGACATTGTTACAGCCCCAGCTTTCGCTCTCTTGCTTGAATTCATGTATGAAGGGAAACTCCAGTTCAAAGACTTGCCCATTGAAGATGTGCTAGCAGCTGCCAGTTATCTCCACATGTATGACATCGTCAAAGTCTGCAAAAAGAAGCTAAAAGAAAAAGCCACTACGGAAGCAGACAGTACTAAAAAAGAGGAAGATGCTTCTAGTTGTTCAGACAAAGTAGAGAGCCTTTCTGATGGCAGTAGCCACATTGCAGGAGATATACCCAGTGATGAAGATGAAGGAGATGATGAAAAATTGAACATTCTGCCTAGCAAAAGAGACTTGGCGGCTGAGCCTGGGAACATGTGGATGAGATTGCCCTCGGACTCAGCAGGCATTCCCCAGAGTGGCGGAGAGGCAGAGACACACGCAACAGCAGCTGGAAAAACAGTAGCCAGCCCCTGCAGCTCAACAGAGTCTTTGTCCCAGAGGTCTGTCACCTCCATGAGGGATTCAGCAGATGTTGACTGTGTCCTGGACTTATCTGTCAAGTCAAGCCTATCTGGAGTTGAGAATCTGAACAATTCTTATTTCTCTTCACAGGACATGATTAGAAACAACCTGGTTCAGGTGAAAGTGGAGAAAGAAGCTTCCTGTGATGAGAGTGATGTTGGCACTAATGACTATGACATGGAACACAGCACTGTGAAAGAAAGTGTGAGCACTAATAACAGGGTACCGTATGAGCCAGCCCATCTGGCTCCTATGAGGGAAGACTCTGTTTTGAGGGAGTTGGAGAGAGAGGACAAAGCAAGTGATGATGAAATGATAACTCCAGAGAATGAGAGAGTTCAGGTGGAAGGAAATATGGACAGCAGTCTGCTTCCTTATGTCTCCAACATACTGAATCCCGCAGGCCAAATTTTCATGTGTCCCCTCTGCAACAAAGTCTTTCCTAGTCCCCACATTCTGCAGATTCATTTAAGTACGCACTTTCGAGAGCAGGACGGGATCCGCAGCAAGCCTGCCACTGATGTCAATGTCCCAACCTGCTCCTTGTGTGGTAAGACTTTTTCTTGCATGTACACCTTGAAACGTCATGAAAGGACTCATTCAGGTGAAAAACCCTACACTTGCACCCAGTGTGGAAAGAGCTTCCAGTACTCCCACAATCTGAGCCGCCATGCCGTAGTTCATACACGGGAGAAGCCACACGCTTGTAAGTGGTGTGAGCGCAGGTTCACACAATCTGGAGACCTTTACAGACACATTCGGAAGTTTCACTGTGAGTTGGTGAACTCATTATCTGTCAAAAGTGAAGCACTGAGCTTACCTACTGTCAGAGACTGGACATTAGAAGATAGCTCACAAGAACTTTGGAAATAGAATTTTTATATATATAATTAATATATATATAAATCTATATAATTGTGGTACAGTCTAAAAGCAGTCTTGTTTCCTTGAACTGAAAGTTTGGCCATTAGCTTGTTTTATGCACTTTAAGGCGGCATGAACATTTCACTATTTAGTGCTTTGATAATATGAACTATAGAAATGAGACTATTAAACATCATTAAAATTTCCCCATCAAGTAAGTAGTTTTTTTAAACAAATCTGCAAATGAACAATTATGATTTTTAAGTTCTATATAACTTTACTTCCAACACTGCATAATTTCAAATTCCATTTAAAACAAAATCAGTAGTCCCCTCCAGTGTTTTATGAATTGGTTATATTTTTAAAACTGCATGCATCTTTTCTAGCTGTGGGAAACCTGAATGCTTTTAGACCGAAGTGAAACATTTCTGAAATGCTGGAATGTCTATTTTTAAACACGCAGTTGAAATATTATTGTAATTTGTGAATTACTACAATTCCCAATTGAAAAAATTATCCACTACCGTTTTTTTGTTTTCTTTTTAAAAAATACACTGGAATTGTTGGGACTATATGAAGGTGTGCTTGGGATGCAAAAGGATGTTGCAGCTGCAGCAGTTGCGAACTGTGCATTTAAAAATGTGAATTACTGTTGTATACTGTAATTGATTAAATGGGCTGGGGGGTGTCAAGGAAATTGACAAGTTGTGTTAATGCTCTCAGTTGAGTCTTGAAAAGTAAATATTAACGCTACGGAAATGCATGCGTTTCAGTATATTTTGTCTTTGTTTGCATTGTATAACTTTAATGAGTGAGTTTTAAAACTTATTTAATTTTTTCATAGGAGAAAAACACCATGGGGAAAACTGGTGTTATGAAGAACATAAATGCACTGTTTTTTATTTTATATAATTTAAATTAATTTCCCACTGTCTTTAAGTTGAACAAAAACTACATGTTGATTTTAGCTATGTAAAGGAAGATAGTAATGTTTACAAACAGGCTTAGAGATTTGCATGTGCAGTGTACATTTATCAAAAAACCTGATTGCACAAATCCCATGCCAGCTCCAACTTTAGATGCATACAGTACCCATATAAGCATTTTTAGAATTCCTGCTGCACAAATTAACAATAGGTCATTCATTTTTCGCCCCTTGAAAAGATCCTATGGAGTGAAAAAGCCCCAGGCTGAAAGGACTAGAAAACCTTGATTGACATGGGGTGGAATGGGGTGGGGTGGGCAAACGGCGGGAGAAAAGTTGGGGGAGGGTTTGTGAGCTGTGTATCCAAGCAGCAAAGACTGCAGCCTGATGTGTGGTTTTAATGATCAACACGCAGGGCAAAAGCATTTTGCACAGTGTTTGTTTTCCTGTCTTGCACTTACAAATAAGGTCTATGGGAGTAGCATGGAAAACTGTTTTTTCTTCTTTCCGCTTTGTTTAGAATTTGATCGCCTTAACTACTGTAAACATAGCCTATTTTTGTGCTTAAGAAACTGAATGGAAAACTCCATTGTGTATTGCTGGACTGTTTTGGAAATATTTTGGTCAAATGTATGTTAATTTGGCTGTAATGGCATTTAAAGCAAACAAAAAAAAAAGCTGTGAAAATGGCCTTGGAGCATTATTTTTAGTTACTTGAATAGTCGCTAGGTTTTAAAAATACATTCTTTTTATTAATTTAGAAAAGACAATCAATGTCTGGAAAAATGGACTCTTGAATTTTATTTTATTTTTTTGTGGACGTGAGTGATTGTTTTTTTGGGGGGTTGCCCTTTAGTTTCACATTATTATTATTAATTATTATTATTATTTGGTTCTAAGAATTAGACTGACATCTAGCTTTGACAATCATAGTATGTTTTATTTTCCTGAGGGGGAGGGTGAATAACTTATAACGCTGTTTAGTTTTGTACTATTGGTGTGTTGGTGAATTTTTAAACTGTGTGCTAACTGCAATAAATTATACATACTGAGAAATCAATTAGTAGTCTTCTCCCCTTTTTAAACATTGAAATTACAGAATATTTTTGATAATGAACACACATACGTTTTCTACAGATTTTTACTTGTTTTATGGAATAATATACTTAGTGTTTGAAGTAGTTCTTAAAAATCATTTCTGTTAGGCAGATTAAACATTTGAAAACGCTGTATTTCTTAAAAGTTTTGCTACACAATAAATTTTTAAATCTCTACAGAGTGTTAATAGAAAATAATGATATTTACCAAGTAACACAATTCTAAATGTTATGATGGCACTAAAGTTTGAACCTGTCAGGACTGATATATACTGATGAGAATGTAGAATAGGATGGGACAAGGAGGGGAGGGGAATGACAGTTTTATTATTAGTTAATGATTATTGCCCCGGAGACAAAAAAGAGGTCATCCCAAATGGTGTATGGGCTCATATTATAAAAAATTGGAATTCTATTTTTTAGAATGGGAAAAGAAGAAAAAGTTTGTCTCTGTCAGAGTAATTGGTGAATATCCGATAACTAGACCAAGTTCTTGAAAGATCTGAAAACCTTTCAAACAGAATTGCTTTGTTGGTTTTCTAGATCAAAAGTTGTCTAGTACACTCGGGAATGGGTCGCCTGTTCCTAATCAGTGTCTTAACTGCTTTAGAAGCCTGTGATATGGCACAGATATTGAGAAGGTATTTTCAACTAAAATAGGTCTCTTTTAGATACATATATTTTCTACAATACTTTGTGGCCCACATTATCATATGTCAAAGAAATGATTGAATTACCTCAACATATTTTATGAAATTGTATACCTTAGATTTGTTTAGTTCTTTACTCCTTCTCAAGAGGATTGATGCCATTCTCAGGAAAAAGGCTATCTTAGTAGTAAGTGTGAGTTTCGTTCTTCTGGTATATATCATGAATATGTACAATTCAGGCTGCCAGTTTGAAAGTAATTCATGATAAACTCTAAAGTGTCTTTGAAGTGAAAATTTCCAAATAACATATTAATGGAAGAGTTTAGAGGTTACTACTTGTACTCATAGTTTGGTTACACAGAAGTACTAGTACATTGTTCTAGTAATACTCCTAAAAGTCTGTAAAGTTCTGATTACAATAAATATCCTGCTGTGCACTATTGTTGTGGGTTTGGGTGGAGTAATGAAAATATATTTGTAATCTAACAGAAAATGCTCAGATTCACTTTTATATGTGACATATGATTGTGTTATAAATGCCACAGAAGTTGAGCTTTTATTCTCAATTGCTTAGTGTTTCCATGTGAAAATAAAGTCCTTCAGAGTCCATGCCAGCTTGTAATAACCTGCAATATCATGTGATAAAGTCATCCTGGAGCATGATAAGAAGTAAAACACCTGCACAGAAGCAAGGAAAATGCTTGCTCACTTTTTCAGCAGAGTGGACACGAACAAGTCAGCAATGATGGAAATGGCACAGAACTTTACAGTGTTTAAATCCTAAAAATCACAGGGTATGTTGGATCATTGCATTTAAAACTGCTCTTGGTGAATTTGTTTGGTCTTAAAACATTTTAATGATAATGAAAACTGATTAAAATCAGTCTTGATTTAGTGTGCATCATGTAATGGAAATAAGTACAATATTTTTCTAGTAATTATTAACATGTTTTATACTTAAATTTGAAAATAATTGACTCCATTTATTGCACCCACTTATGTAACAGGAGTATACATGTGCATATATGTGCAGAATGTAAGTCACATTGTGTAAAGGAAGAAATTACCAGAAAAAAGTGCTAAACGTGTTGGAAGATGATCATTGAAAAGTGAAAATTATTATAAAGGTGAGTCAAAATGATTGTGTAGCTGACTGCCTTGATTTTTTGCTTTCTTATTAGCAGCTGCATTTGCTCACCTGTTCAGGAAGTATGCTCAGTTCATTTTCCCCTGTTGAACTAAATATTTGCTTTGCCGCTAAAACAGTAGTTAAAAAAATATAGCATTGCATCCTAAATTATATGCTTTTGAAAGTTACAGCATATATGGGGTATGGGGGTTAGTTACCTCAGAAATCTGAGCTGTCTTTTTAAACTAGCTGGTAGAAAATCGGGTTTTGAATGCTATGTTACGTACAAGAATGCATGTATTTGAGTTAGAGAAGATGGTGGCTTAAAATGTTTGCTACTTCTTATTCAAAGTTAAACTCAACAAATAAGAATTAAAATTCTTACTTGAATTCCATACTATTTTTTTCTATACATTTAGCAATGAAGTGGGCATGATGTGTCTGAATTAATATCATTTCGTTTGTCCTGCCGATCCAGCCGTTATAACCCATTTTTACTGGACAAACAGAATGGTTGGTATAAAAATACTTTTGTATTAATACAATGCATAAGACGATATAGTTAGCATCAAGAACGTTGAGCTAAGCCTATGCTACCTTCAAGTTTGCCTCGTATTTTGTCAGCTGGAGTCATTTGACATACTTTGTTAAATACTGTTACTTGGATCATTTAGCAGACTGAAGTTAGTTTTTACTGGCTTCTATTGCACTTCCCTGACAAAGTGAAAAGTTAGTATATTCTCTTCTGTCACTGTTTTACAACAGCCGGGCCAAAAAGAATACTGCATGGTTAAAGCCTAGAGCTAGAAGATCATTCTAGTGTGATAAAATCCACTAAACCTGTTAAAGGGTCTTAGTGATGACAGATTGTGTTTAGGCTTTTAAAAAATGATTCTCTTTTTTCATTATCAGTTTGAAAAAGGCATTCTGTTTAATGCTTTAAAATTTCTGTCAAATGTTTTTTTAAGCCTCACTTCAAGCCACAATATGTACATGCTTACATAGGAGTAGGTCCCATTGAGCTGAGTGAGGCTGAGTTGACATATATAGGATTGCATATCATGGCTTTCTTGTAAATCCTGTTTAAAAAAATAAGAGCAGATTTCAGTTTATTACTTTGGAAGACAATTTTAAATACTAACATATGATGCAAAATTAGGTGAATTTTTACTCCAGATTTGTTCTATTTGAAATAAGATATTATTTGTTTTGTATCAGGATTAATTTATATGTCACTGCCATTTTACATTCTACATTTTACATGTTGATGATCATCCTTATCCCAACTAAACTGGAAGAAGGTTAAAAGTATTAATGTATTTGAAATGTGTTACCTGTATTCTAAAATTGCCTTGATCAACAGCAATAAGCACCCAATAAAATTCTGATGTACATTCGTCGTATAATACTTTGCATTCTGCTGAAAGAGAAGACCATTCACTGGGATCATGCAGATTTAAGGTCTAGAATAAGGACAGTTAAATTTAATCAAGTAAAACTTCAGAAATATTTAAGTGGTGTCAGTTGCAAAAACAAATGTGCTATTTTTTGCCTCACCACTATCTTAATGCAATATTGTACAGCATTGGTGGATTTTTAGATAACACAGATCTACAGCTGTTTACTTGTGAGTAAGCTCAGTGAGAGGTTCGAGTAGACTTGCGCTGTTAAACAACATCCCGTTAAACAAAATGTGCATTTGGAATTGTGTTGAATTTGGCTTATTGGGGAGCTCATTGGGATGGTGGGGAGGTGCTTTGGGGTTAGGAATCAGATTGGAGGGTTGTTTGTATTACTGTCAACTGCCTAGAGTAGTACCTTGGACTAAACCGGGCAGTAGACAAATTGCTTTAAATAAATGCTAGGGTATCTGTCATAAGGATTTATAGAACACTTTAGCAATTATTATATTCTGTAATGGTTGCATGATGATGGTACAGTTTCTAACCTTTTACTTAATTTTTAAAAACCTATGTAGGAAACATGCCAAAATATAGATTGATATGAACCAAATTAGTGCAAATTAGTGCATGAAACCCATTTTAGCTGTAAGAAAACATCTATACTGGATAAATGAAACTTTTAATTGTATAAAAATCTAGATCTTTGCTGCAGATGTCAAAATATGTTTGCATATCTCCCAAAGGCACAGTTCACCTTTTTTTATTCATCATTATTAATGTTTTAAATTGTCTCTCTCTTTATGGCTGAACATTAAGGATAAGCTTGTTTCTTAACTCTTTTTGAGGTTTTTCAAAATTGTTTCTGTGCAAATTATTGAACTCAATCACACTTTGAAATCACGGGAACAATATTTAGTCTTGACCTAATGAAGCCGCATTTATTTTAGTCGATCTGCTGCGGCATGTGAGGTGCTCAAGGAATAGTTTACTTTTGCTATCCCCCAGTGAGTTCCTTGGCCAAGAGTGATTTTGAACCAGGTTTTAAGTCCTAATCCAGCATGCTGTCTGCTACACCACCCATCGCTAAAGCCTACCCTTATGGAAATCTTATATATACAGCTATTTCTTGAGTGAGATTATTGAGTTTACATTTTCAGAAGCAATAAGTTGTTCTAGTGTGTTTCCAGAGAATCAACTAGGATTCTTAAACATGTTTCATTGAATTCATGAGTGTTATCCAGGAATATATGAACTAAAATTTTTGCTCAGTTTCCTTTGGTTTCAGTGGGATACGAGTATAAAAGCTGACTAGTGCTTGATTGTATTATTATTTTTATGTATGAAAAAATTGATTAGGGACAGCATATCTTGCTAAGTCTTCATTACGATGTAATGTATAATAATACATAAACATCTACTGCTTTGTAAACAAGATCTTTAAGAATAAAAATTATGTCTAACCAAAAATAAAATAAAATAAACTTAATACTTGGAATAAAACTTGTTAAATAATTGTATTTGCATTTTAAAATATTTATTACACTTTTACTTACATGCTAAGCTGATGTAATTTCTGTATGCTTCTAGCAGTCATCTGAAAGGAAAAATGGGGAATGGTGTTGAGAAGTAGTTAAGTATACTATCGTTTTAAGTGCTGCATATTTAGCTTACAAGCCACTAGTAAAAGTGAGAAGGAATTTCTAGGCTGTTTTCCCCTGACAAAATTAATCACAAGTGGATTAACCTCCTGCTTTAGCTATGGTGATTTTTTAAAAAGAGCACAGGATGGGAATAGCAAAGTAACAGTGCATTAAATAACCAATTAACCAAAAATGTTATTTTTGTACTTATTGTTTAATAAATATTTATTCATTGTGGTACTTTATAATATAATCTATTTGGTACATAAAATCCAACTGAAGTAGCCATCTTAATCATAACATTTTAAGAAGGTCAAGCATGTAATTAAAACCCCTGGACATTCTGTATTTTTAAATTAAAGGAATGTTATGTTTCTCCTTTCTGAAACTGGTAGCAAGTGCAAAGGATATATAGTTAAAATGGCAAAAAATGACTTTAATAGTAAGATAAATTGAAGAATAACGATATTGCAGATTCAACAAGTCTATGGCTGAAATCAAGTAGTAAGTTGCAACCAGTGTAAACCCATTGAATCAGAGGGAATTTGATGTGTCATCTCCTCTGTAGGTTCCGTTAATGCAAATTAATGAATTAAATTAATTACTCTAGTTGTGACTGGCTACTGGATTTCAGCCAATATTACAGTGGAGAAATGGTTGAGGATCATGCAAAAGTATATACAGTACCAGTACATGTAACTGAAGGTTCCTTTTCAGTGCTTCCAAGGAAGGAGGGATGCTAAATCCTCCACCAACCTGTTGCCTTTTTGTGCCACATCTCTTTATAACATATACAAGGTTTTCATTAGCTTGGAAAGAAATAAAATTTGGCCTAAGTTCAATGAGAATATACTATGCTTTGTTCAGATTTATCCAAAACAAGATTCCAGTTTGTTTTTAAAGTATAGGTAGAAATTTCTTTATTAGATACCTGAGTAGTACAAACCTGATGAACTGAACCCTAAAAGGAACACATGAGCATCAGGCAATTTTAAATGGAACCAGCAATCTTATTCACATAGAATAGGAACATAGCCAGATTCTCTTATGTGTTGCTCAGTTGCCCAGTATGTAGGAGTGCCAGTTAGAGAGTACAGGGGAGAGCATCAACTGAATCTTCACTGTGTGTTTGAGAATAGCGGTCAAATGTTACGTGTAAACCAAGTCACTTGGTCTACCCCACTGGTTCTACACTGATAATACTGTGGTTTTTAAAAATAATGATAGGTACTCTCAAATATATTGCTTTTGGGCAACATCTATTTCAACATGACCAAATGACCTTTAGCTTTTGCTGTATGCTACAAACCACTGCAGAAGTTTCAAATCACATCACAGATAGCTAGAGGAACAGAACAGTCATACTCTTCCTGTTGTAAAAATTTCAGGCATGGGATGTATAAGGAAAAGAAACGTATCTCATTGACAGTTCATTTCCACCAGGCAGGAATGAGGAATATGTTCCAGAATATATTTCAGGGCAAAGCTCCTGAGAGTGATCATGCAATATCAGAGAGCAATAGCAATATGTTCAGTTTATGCTGACTTGCATTTGGGACCAATTTATATTATGTCCATATTAAGGCCATTGCAAATAGCCTTTATAACAGAGCTGGCAAGGTCAGAGAACTTTATCACATTGACTCCTTTGGAGCAGTGCCAGCACAGGGTGTGGTCAGAGAAATGTAAGGGCAGTACAGAGGGAGACACCCTACTTGGCAACTGTGTTCTGTAGGTGAGCTCCACTTCATCAGTACGATGAACACTGGCCACCCGGAGGATCCTCTGAAGAGGTCTCTGAGTGATCAGTGGAAGGCGCATAGCAGTTCTTAAGATGAAATGGCATGTTGTGTTTTTGTTAAATGCTAGTCTTTTAATTGTGTGGAGGCATTGCAGGTGTTTGCAGAGGAGAAATTGTGAGAAATACAGTATGTAGGGGACGACATTTGTTTCAGAACAAATGACTTAAAAGAAAACCCTGAACTTAATGAACTCCATTTAGTTCAGCCTTCAGTTGTTCCAAAATGAATAGTCTGTGTAATATTATACAATTAATCACTCCTTCGCAGTCACATCCCAGTGCCTGGCTAGCATTTCCTTTCCCCACAATGACCCAGATGTTGCAGTAGGGAAGACATTCTTTTTCCCCCCTGGCAGCTGCCATTTTCAGAAATACATAATATGCTGAAAAGGTAGCACAATATCCAAAGCTTTCTGGCAAAAAGATAGCAAACATCTGAATATGGTTGCCATAGACTGTGGTTGCTTAGAACTTCACAGGCAGGAAAAGCTAAAGACAAAATAAAAGCAAGGAAGAATGAAAAGCATGTAAAAAGGTGCTATGAATAAATGGACAACAACAACAAAAATGTGTTTTTAGATATCAAATCTAATGGGATGAGAAGAATTTCTTCATTTCACTCCCAACAGTTTGTGCTTAACTCTTCCTGTGGCTAGTTATTCCATCACAGAAATGTTTAAGCACCTCTCTTGTGGTCAGCTTGTATATTTGCATATACAAAAATGGGGTTGTATGCGTTTTTATTCGGTGACCTTAATCTGAAAAAAGTTATCAATGTCTATCACCCCATGAATTATCTGCCATTAAACACATGCAGTGATTTTTGTCCTGTTCTTAACATTTTTTACCAGAAAGACTATTTCTTTTACACACACACACAGACACACAGAGACACATAGACACACACACATAGAGATCTGCTTTTCTAAAAGTCTTGTGTAGATAGCTCCATGAAAGCTGAATATCATGAAAGTGAGTGGCTTTCCAAGATCAGAGCTTTTAGCTGTCATTCACAAAGTACATTTCAAATGTGTATGCATGCAAGGAGAGGTTGCTGTTGTTTGTTTTGTTTTGTTTTGTTGCTTTTGTTCTGTTTTGCATTTACTAAATCTGTTAATGAAAAAAATACAGTGACTAAATTGCATTTGGTTTTGAAAAAGCCTTCTGCTTATCGGAATAAAAGGAATACTTAGCATTGCTTGTTAAACCATAGTAAGATGGTTTTTGGCCAGTACTGGATTTTATCCAGGGGGTATTCTTACTCTGACGGAAGGCTCTGTGATCCAATAGAATCTCTCAGTAGAACCAGGAGGGAAGCCATTTCCACTCATTTACCTTGCTGCATCTTCCATGCTATTCTGAAGGACCCTGCAACCCAGCGAAATGAACATGCCTATGGATGATCTCGAGGGAATTATCCACAATGAAGCACATGTGGAAGGAGTGAAGCACTGAAGGGGGAACTGGTGCAAATCACCTCCTTCCCACCTCCTTCCCACTGATAGAAGCTGTTAGTGTATATGGGAGCCTTCCATACATGTTGGCCATGACCCACTATTATTATTTTTAATGTACTACATTTAATTACATTATGTCCTTGAGAAATTCAGGATCTTGATGTTAAACAATACCTATGTCTGTCCAATATGTCTGAGGCAGCCCAATTCAAAGCACATAAGAAACTAAATAATTTCAGCTTGCTGTTGCAGACTGAGTCAAGCTTTTTCAGAGCTTGTGTGAATTTAATTTGTAGCTTTTCAGTTTGTGATCGTTCCCTATGTTTATTTTCAGTTAAATATTCCTATCTGTTGATTATTTAATTGTTTGTTTGGGTGAAGGTTTCATTCTTTAACAGGGGGGGAAGAACAGCTTGATGCCATCGCTGCAGTCCAAAAGAAATTAACTGCTCCATTGCACAGACTGAAGTTGGGGAGTTTTCCTGAAAAATTGGTTCTACTAATACACCATTAATTTAATAAAAACTTTGGGAATTTCAGGGAGTAAGAGCGTGTTTTCCAAATGTACATATCATTTATTTTTATTTTGTGGAGATGTTTAGTCTTCTTATTTTGCTTTTTCAAAAAACAAAATTATTGGGTACCTGATCCATCAGGGCTTTTACAAGACAGAAGCTAGATGAGATAGTAAATGAGCAAGTGTCTTCATTTAATCAAACTGGACAATTGTTGTCTAAATGGGTGTCCAGCCCTGTGCGCATGATGTTCATGGTGTAGCACTGAAGATTGTACGTTGGATGGTAAAGGACAAAATTTCTTTCTTTTTAACATAGTTGACAATTGTTTAAGTTTTGCACGGATAACAGTCTTGAAAAAAAGGATATTCAAAAGGTGCGGCTTAACTTTTTCAGTAATTGTTGAACTACAGTACAAGGAAACTTAAAAAGAATCTCATAATATAATTATAATTTCCTGAAAAGATAACTAGAAAACAAGAGCTTGTTTTATAATCTCTTATTGATTCATATGTAACATATGGGCATACATTCCACACTGTAGCACTTTACAAACTGTTAAGTGAGTAATGGATCTTACAGTATGATCTAATGCAGGTAAACTCAGAGGGAAGTCTTAGTGTAACCAATGGGTCTTTCTCCCTAGCAAGTGTGTTCAGGATTGCAGCCTTAATTTTATATTTTGTGAAATGCAGCACTATCTGTTTGACTGTGTCTGGACAAAAGCAGGATTTTTTTTTCAAACATTACATCTTGGCACAGTAGATATGCAAATGCCAGAAAACACTAAAACCACATTTAATTGGACCTACTTGCCAACTTCTTGAACACAGCTTGGATTATTTCACTGGAGGCTGCTTCTGTTAAAAGCTGGGGGAGGAGGAAGTGGCATGCTGTCAAAACTTCAGTTTTTTTCTTCTTCTTCTCACTAGAAGTGCAATTATACAGGGAGCCAAGTTTTGAGGTATTTGACTATATTTAATAATTATTATTGCAGATATTGTAAACATATGCATTGAAGTGTATTACAAGTAGAATAAAATTGTGTCACAAATGTAGCCTTAGTTGCAATTTCATTTTCTTTTCTATGGTTTATTTTTCATTCACGATGAATGCATTGGGGCCATCTACGCTGCCACAGAGTTCAAGCTGCATGAGGGGGCATTTGAGGGTTAAATGAGCTGACAGGCGTTTATTCTTCTTGGCTATCTGAGACCTTCTTCTCTTTGGCTAATAAACATAAAATACATAATGGGATTAATTTTTTTAGGGTGATTTCTCAAATTATGGAATGGAGGAAAATGCTTTGGGAAAGTTTCATAGAAATATTTTGCATTCACTCAGTATATAAGAAGAATTGTCTACTTGTATAAAATGTTTGCATATATAACACAATGGATTGTCTTTTAAATGGTCATCTGTACACATCGCATGTTACTACAGCATAGGGCTTGGAAATTTTTAAAAGTTTTGGACAGCAGTTTGCAGAGTTCTGAAGCTATGCTGGTTGGACAATTTTGAAATCTGTAATACTGCCAAGAACATGACTAGTGCTATACTGAATATTTGTGAGTTTTTATTTCTTGAGAGTAATTTTGTGTTCAGCTTCCTGGATAGCTCAGTGAGTTAGGTTACTGACTATGGAATCAGAAGTTGAGAGTTCAGTTTCCCATTGTGCATCACAGGTGATCCAGTCTGTGCGACCTTGAGCAAGCTGCACAGCTCACAGAAGAAGGGAATGGTAAACCACTTCCAATCACACTGTACCTAGAAAATCCTGAAAAGAGTCACCATAAATCAGAACTGACTTGAAGGCAGACAGTTAATATTATCATATTCATTTTGTACAAAGGGTTAATGCTGGGGAAGATTGTTGCCTTCCAGGCTGCCAAACTCCAGCATTCCTTGCCCTTTGCCACTAGCCATTTTGATGGGGTTTCTTTAGAACAGCCATTCTCAACAAGGGCCATATTACCTCCTGGGCCCCCCTGGCACATTTGAAGGGCGCCAATGACAGGAAACAGTTATTCACACACAACCTTTACAAGGTTTCTTATGCGAATTATGCAATCCTGATTTGGCCTATATTTCGGCACATTTGAAGGGCACCAATGACAGGAAACAGTTATTCACACATAACCTTTACAAGGTTTCTTATGCGACTTATGCAATCCTGATTTGGCCTATATTTCTTTCATGTTGTGTTTATGGCCATGGGCAAAAAAAAAAAAAGGTTGAGAATGGTGGACTTAGAGCATGATCCCAGCCAACCAGAGATCATATGATATTTCAAAGTCATGTTGAATGTAAGATGATTTAACTGATGACCAGTAAAGCTCTCTCATTCTAAGAGTAGGAGGCAGGGGAAAATGCATCCTCCTTTCACAAGAAGCTGGTTCAGTTTTTGCTATGTTGATAGGCCATACTGAAGACCTCATGGCCTGCCAGCACTGTGCCCAAGTATTGTGTCCCAGGTCCTGACCATCTTGCCTTGTTGCAATCTCAGGAATCATAAGCAGTCATTCTCTTGGGGTTCATTAGTACACATTTTTTAATACTGTATATATAAATCATCCACAGTTGCCTACTTTCTTTCCCTGGAGGTTCATCAAATGTGACATTGGAACAATGTTCGGATCTTATTTGGTCCAGAATTCTGTTTCTTTATGCACTGTATTATAAAACTGAAGAGCTGACTGCCACAAAATAAAGAGGTGGCTGCCAACTTGGCCAGTTCAGAAAGACGATTAAATAAATTCATGGAGGTTATGGCCATTAATATCTACTAGTCAGGGTGACTATATAACACTTCCAGCATCAGAGGAAATATGTATGTCATAGTGTATCTGCTGCTGGGGAGCACAAGGTCAAGTGTGTCAATGCACTAACACCTGCTTATGGATTTTCTACAGTGTACACTGAATATTGGGTTGGCCTTTGGTCTGATACAGCATGACCTCTCATTTTAGGTAGGAATAAAGGGATGAGTTCATTGGGATCAAACTATTCCAATCTGTGCATTCCAATCCTATTTTGTATACATCTGTTTTTATTTGGCTCCATGCAGGGTAGGCCATATTGCTTTCTGGTAAGGAAAATTAGTAGATTCTTTGTCTGTGTTCCCTGGCTTGCAGTAGCTTTCAAAATGCAACCAAGATATAATCTTATGTAACTGGTCAGGCACTCAAAAGATTTCCAGGGATCTGCACACTGTGTGTGAACTTTCTGACCTTTCTCAACTTCTCAACTACTCCACTATCAGAGAGGTGCTGCACTCTGCTACTGAACAGAAGATATGTGCCACTGTCCAGAACATGGTAAAAGTGACTTTAAAAAAAATCAGGCCCTCAAAATCCCCCCAGCCAGCACAGAGGATTCTAAGATTCATAATCCTCAGAAGTATAACTTGTACAAGTTTACCATGGTCTTGTTCTGTGTAAATGCCCTCTGGTGTCTTGCCAGAATCAAATTTAAAAGTAGATCAAGCAACAAAAATCTTTTCTTAAAACTTTGTTGCTTATTAGAATTACACATATACTGCGAAATTAATTAGCGTGCCAAAAGAATACAGAACTGGGCTGCTGTCTTCATCTGCAGTTTCCAACTTCACCTCTATGATTAGAATTGTGTTCTCTCTTACTTGGTGGTCTGTTGCCTCTCATTAGAATTGTGCTGTTGGATGCACCGAAGGTTACTTGAGGACATCTGCACAGTGCAGCATTCCTTGGAGCAAGAGGCATGCAGTTATCAGGAGACTTCCATCAGACCAAAGCAAGCACAGAGTTTAATTGTATTTTTCATCTGTTTAGGTAACACCCATTTCTGAACTTTCATTTTCTCAGAGATGCACAGGTGAGAGATTTTCTTAAGTAATGGACCTGATACGATTCTGATGAACTGCTAAAACATCTGATGTATCGGATTATTTGAACATTTTGGGTCTGACATAGTTCACCATGATTAGGAGTGAAAGCATGTGCTAATTACCTCTAAAAGTGGCTTCCTCCTCTCTTCTTTGCCTTTTTTCTTTTGCCTTTTGTCAAAATGAAGGCAGTAGGCTTCATGGATCAAGAATGTGACCGCTTTGTTGTGTTCTTCTGTGAAAAGCTGTAAAGTGCAACTCCAAAGAATCAGAACGGTTAAAACTCTGGAACTGTTACTTCTTAATAAACCTTTATGGTATTTGTAAGGACGAATATATCAGGAGGCATCATTTTAAATCTATAAATATCTTGTTTAATATAAGATATGGGCTGGGGAATAAATCTTCAGTTTCCTAAAGGGTGTTAACCAGCCAGATGGAGATAGGATGTGGAGTGGCGTAGTGAGAATTAACTAGACGTATTGGGAAAGCTGGGCATAACTTTATCTAGTGCATAAAATGACAGTTCCTTACTGAGAAAGATAGTACAGTGCAATCCAGGGGATGTATACCCCTGACCTTGGCTCAAACAGATCTAGATTAAACTTTCATCTTAAAGCCTTAGAATAGTTGCTTGCCTTTTATCTTCATTTTCATCTCCCACAATGTGGAAAAGTGGACTTCCATCACAGTTTATGGAAAGTATAAATTCCAAGATTATGCAGTGCAAATTAACAGAAACAGAAGTCCACAGTCAAATAGAAGCAACTCCTCAGGACTTCTCCCCTTGAACTATTAAAGTGTGTTAGTGCATGAGTTGTTGGAAATAAAGCTGTGTTAACAGGAGAAAAGGCAGTGATGGCTTCTCAGCTTGAGGCAATGAGTAGTAGAGACTTACTGACCCTGTGAATGCTATTTAAAAGAAAAATCAAGGGATTCCAATATGTTCTTAACAATGTGTTTGTACCACTATGTCAGATCATTGACTTCATAGATAATGTTCGACATTCTTTGCTGTAATAGGTGGCTTGTCATTTATTTGAATGATTATTCTGCAAATGGCACATTTACTTGAGTTAAAAGGGAATGGATTGACGAGAGAGCTCATATACTTATATTAGAAGCAGTGTGTGGGACACAGCAGTCTGAACCAGAGTGAGAAAGCCTATACTCTCACTGTAGGAGACATTGGCTGAAATTGTGTTGCGTGGTGTAGTACATTTTGCTAGAATAGGGCCATTTGAAATGATGGCACTTACAGAGGATTTGACTCACCAAATCCACTGTACTTCAGTTGTCCTACTCTAGTGCTACTTACTACACTAAGCAACAGGATTTCAGCCATTGAGTTGTAAGAGAAACTCTCAGATGTACCAGCAAACTGGTCTGACAGAGCCCAGCATCCAACAGCTGTGTAGGAACAGTATAAATTAATGGTGGGAACTCATCTCAAGAGTTAAATGCACATTCAGATGCATTCTCATAGACCACATTCCAGTGAAGGTGGAGCTAAAAGCAAAGGTGTGGGACCAAAATACTGGAATATTTTATCTTAAATGCCTTAGGAGAATTTTTTTTAATTCTTTTATACTGTATTTGGAAGTTGGGGGAGGAGACAGAGAAAAGCTGGAAAACCATCAACCAATGATATCAATGTGACTAGAATAGAGTACAGCCTTCTCTGGAAGCAGCAAGGGTCTTATCTAAACACCTAGGAGGCTGGATTTGGGTCACTGGTGCAGACCATGATGGTTACCTTTGATGGCAACTTTCTCTTAACCTGACATTTCTTTAGCTATTGTAAGCTCTGGAGGGTGGCAAATTGGGTCCAGCTATTCAATGTGACACCCAAAGCTTAGAAAAGCTAATTTTTGGACTACAACTCCCAGAATCCTTTTCAAGTAATACAACTGTAAATGCAAAAATGAGTATGTCTGAGCTAATGTTTGCTGTGTGGGATTTTAAGGTGATTCGTGTTGATATTTTATAATGTAAAAAGATGCCCCTTCTTTGCCTAAAGTGCAGCAAGGGTGCAAAAGCGATGTAACATGAATTAAAAGCCCCATATTTAAGTTTGTTTGCATCAACCATTTGTCTTTGCAAGCAATTCCTCATATAGCATCAAAGGCTAAACACGTCACACCAAAACAAAAACAAACCAGGATGAAATTGCTTCAAGATCGATTCAAGGAAAAATAGAATCAAAAAGGACCAAGTCACTAAAATTTGTGGAGATGGGGATTTAAGCTAAGACTCAGGGCTCTATGTTAGACCTTATTTTGTAGACTGCTGTCACCTATTTGTTTCAGTCTGCAAGAAGAGGCACATACAAATGAGATGAGCAGCCTAGAATATAAACTAGTAATGTGTTGAAGTCATGTCCCAAGACATTTCAAACCAGTCTAGTTATCATCAGGGACTGCATCCCAACTGTTTTGGGTCTAAAAGTTCTGCAGCATAAACAAAAAATTATCTCCTTCCAAGCAGTGTCACTACATTTTGCCCTCCTACAGCTCTCTACTTCTGTCCTTGGGGATCGGAGATAGCATGCATGTATCTGCATGCACACAGTGAGAAAATGGAAGTGGCAAAATGTAAGAATGACCATGTTTTCAAAAATTCATGTTTTCTGCCATATGAAAATAAAATCAAGGGACATTTTCCGTCACAAAGCATTTGGAGGAGGGGAGAGTCCATTTTAATTACGTACTGGCAACTCTAAGCTGGGCTTCGGAAGATTAGTCTGAGAAACCCTGGACAGCTCCTACCCTTCCATGCAAACACTACAGAGCAGGATGGTCAGCCTGAACAACGTGCAATTAGTAACAGCTTACTCTGGAAGTGGCCTCAGGTTCTTCTTTCATGGGGCAGGCCCATCACACCATTTGTGGCAATATCTTGGGCAGAGCTTGGAAACAATGTTGTATGCTAATACAAATCCCGCAATCCTCTAGCCTTCAAAGCTATTGAGTGTGCTGGCTAAGAAAGTCTTGAACTGAAGTTCAAGAAAAAAAAAATGTTTTTTTCTTCCAGCTCTGCTCTTAGAGCATCACCTGCTCATGTCCATAAAGACATAACTGGCTGCACAGCTTCTAATGCTATGAGGCAATTAAATGTCATAAACCTTTCCTTGGTAATACATTAAGCTTCAGTCAGTATATATTGCAGTGGGCAGTTTCTTAAAATCAATTCCGCTTTTGCCTCTATTATAAGAATAACCTGCCTTTTTGCTAGGTTTGGAGTAAAAGGTATTTAGCTATGAAGCTATTAGGGACTAATATAGCAAGCCTGAAAACATCACTGGAAACCACACTTTTGTACCCGTTCTGAGTTGAAAATTCGTATTTTGAGGGGGGGGGCTTGAATTGTAACTTCTGAGTTGGAAAAGCCAACCTCATTCTCAATTCATGAATGGCTCAATGAATTGAAAAGATTCAAAGGAACCATATCCTGGTGATTCTTTTTATCCAAAATCCCAGATTCCAGAAAACAGCCTGGAAAGACAACTTCCAAAAGGGCAAACTTACAAAATGGAACAAAATCAGGCACAAATCATCTACCAGAACCACATTCTGGTTCTTTTTCTAGGCCAAAACTCTATTTACTGTATGGCTTTTCAGTACAGCAACTTCTGAGTGGGCCAAACAAACCACATGTACCTGTCAAACATGACTAAATAGGAGCAGTGCAACAAGTAACAGAACTTCCATAGGAACCCTGCTGATGTATCAGTTCCAGGCCAGGAATCTATGCTATACATATACCAGAATGTGGATTCGTTTTGTAGCTTGTTAAGACATAAGACATAAGAAATTTATTTGTCATTGCACTCACAAGTGGGTGCAATGAAATGAGGTGCTCTTCCCCAAGGTAAAACTGGACAACACCACTACAAAAAAAGTTAAAATATACACAACACTTACCATACAAATATAGATACCCCGTTTCTCCCGGCAATTAAAATTCCCCAAAAACTTATGACCCCGCATTTAAACTCAATACTGCACTTGGGTAGAAGCTGTTCTTGAATCTGCTTGTCCTTGCTTTCAATACCCTGAATCTCCTTCTCGAAGGTAATAGTTTAAAGAGCTGATGTAGCGGATGAGAGGAGTCTTTCAGTATGTTAGATATCTTCCTCTTACATCTGTTCTTATACAATTCTTCCAAAGAGAGGAGTGAACAGCCAATGATGTTTTGGGCCATCTTAATCACCCTTTGAATTGCCTTTTTCTCTGCCACTGTGCAGCTCGTGAACCATACACAGAGACAGTAGGATAATATGCTCTCAATCGAACTCCGATAGAAGGTGGTTAACAAACTCTCAGTCAATTGTTGTTTTCTAATTGTTGTTAAATGACTTTCACAGAACTCTCTATGACTGGTGAATGCAGTTCGCTTACTAGTGAGGATGGAACTTCTATTATTTATTTTTATTTCCACTTCTATACCCTGATGTTGGGAAAGTGTGAAGGCAAGAGGAGAAGGGGACGACAGAGGATGAGATGGTTGGACAGTGTCTCTGAAGCTACCAACATGAATTTGACCCAACTCCAGGAGCCAGTGGAAGACAGTGGTTTATTTTTCCAGCTGTTTAATTTATTTTCAAATTGTTGTTTCTTATACTGAGCCTTTAGATTTGATTGTATTTCCACCATTTAATTTTGATTTTTAAGATTTTGCACAGTCTTTTGCTGTATTCCCTTTCTGTCAGTTCTTTCACATTTGTGTGCACAGTGGTATCTGCTTCTGGTATTCCAAGGTATTTATAATTTTCATCACTTGATAGTGATTTTATAATATTGTTATCAAGTGCCAAAATTGTAAATACCTTGGAATACTAGAAGCAGATAGCATCCTATCATCATCATCATCATTGATTTTTTTTTTCATTTTTGGCCTCTTGATTCTTTCATCTAAAGGAGCCTTGTGTTTCAGTGGTTAAACTGCAGTACTGCAGCCAAAACTCTGCTCATGACCTGGGTTTAATCCAAGGTGACTGGCTCAATGTCCACTGAGCCTTCCAGCCTTCCAAAGTAGGTAAATTGAGTACCCAGCTAACAGGGGTGGAAGGTGGGAATGTGTAGCCTGCAGAATTAAATTGTTTTATTTTTTTTCTGAAGAACATTCTCCTGGTCCTTTTCACATACACACATGGTTGGTTTGGCTGGCTGCTGGCCTGCCTTGGACATCATTCTGGTGAACTGAGATATCATCATTGTCATTCGAAAGAGTTGTAGGGGAAGAA